TCTTTGATTCACTGGTAAGTACAGACAAGCTATAATCACGTCTATCACATCTTTGATTCACTGGTAAGTACAGACAACTGACTTGTTGCGCTAGAGTGGGAAAGCACATGGAAATCAGTCGTACTACCTTGACTGTGAAATGGCTTCCACTATGAACCAATATAGAAGCACAGAAACATGCACCATATGATCATGCGGAAGCCATTCGTAGTACCTTGACTGTGAAATGGCTTCCACTATGAACCAATATAGAAGCACAGAAACATGCACCATATAATCATGCGGAAGCCATTCGTAGTACCTTGACTTTGAAATGGCTTCCACTCTGAACCAATCACACGTAAGCCATTTGTGGTTCAAAACACGCCAACACAAGAGTTGAATACTATAAGTTTTAATACTGATTCAATTGTCTTACAGGGTACATGATCATTTGTTGGCCCTGGCGTCTCCTCTGATGCCTGAGGACTCGGGATCTAATGGAGGGAAGACACCCATCGCGGCACCACCACCTACCTTTGCATCAGGTAACCAAACAAAGATAGACACACACGGCGACAGACAGACAGAAAGACAGACAGACAGACAACATTTAAATGATTACATTTAAGTAATTAACGACATGAAATTGTGTGGTCAGCATTACAGAAGGGTAGCACTACCATGACCAAAGACATCCCAGAAACATCATCAGGTTGCTGTCCTCCAACAAACCCAGTCATTCTGCACAAAGATCATGGGGTACAAAGTCCATCGGGTGGAGGTTCACCTACCACACGACCTGCTACAGGTAGGTCATATGATAAAAGCTACCACAACTCCAGGAATACACCATTTGTAATCAGTATGTTGGTTTTATTGTATATTCAGTTGCAAGTCCAAGGAAGTCTTCCTCTACTTTTCTCGCGAGAGATCCAAAAACTGGCAAAGGTAAAGTGCTCATGTCTAAATTTCAATCTGAAGTTTTGTTGTTCTTTGTTGATTCAAATATCTAGCACAGCATCGTTATCGTACACGAAGAAAAACAAATCGTTCAGTTTGGAATAAAAGCTTCACGTGTCCACGTTCAATGTCAAGTCTTAAGCATCACATTTTTCTATCCTGCATATGGCATACATTACAACGTTTTCATTATTTGCCTGCATCATGCATCACCTTTTGCAAACCTCACCAAAGACAATTGTTTGTTATTTTTTTTCGTTTTCACTAATTCTGAAGACTTTTGTGCTTGTCATCTGTCGTTTCACATTTGCCATAACCAAGACAAACCCTTTGACATTTGTTGAGTTTCTTAACCAGTCTATCTATTATCTATGACTTAGTATGATGTTTATTATCTATGGTAATTTAGTATGATGTATATTGATATCTTGATATCTGATAACAGCTCTACAACAGCGTAACACATATGCCATCAGTGTGTGGAGGAAAGTAAAAGCAAAACTTGATGGCAGGGATGCGGATCAAGCAAAGAGATTGTCTGTAACGGACCAGGTAGGATCTTATTGTTTCTTTTTAATAACAAATATTGCGTCAATAAAAAGGCGTTGCACCTGTTGTTAGTTTTGCTACTGTTGTTGCTGCTGTTGTCGTTGCTGCTGCTACTGCTGTTGTTGTCGTCGTTGCCGCCCTTGCTACTGCTTATGCTACAAATGATCCCTATTTTGAATTGTGACTTCTCAAGGTTGACCATGTTATCCATGAAGCAACCAGTCTGGACAATCTCAGCCAGATGTACRAAGGATGGACTGCATGGGTATAGACGAGACGATACCAGACAATCCTGTCTGTCCATATTCTCTACATCAATTTCATTGGTTGCTCCAGGTCACCATAGCAACAAAGCTAATCATGGAACAGCAGCAGTGCCAGCTTGCAACAATCGACCCAACATTCCAGGTGTTTGTGTCCATAGTGCTTAACTTGTAGCGTTGCCTAGTAACGGGTGTCGTGCTGCAAATGTATTTAGTGGAGTTTATGGCGTTGCTAGCTTAACGACTTGGGRAAAAAGATCGACGTAGTTTTGCTTATTTACTTGTAACGTTAGTTTGACCAGAACAAACCTTGCAGTTAAGCAAACGTTGAAAAAAGGAAACAGCTTGAAATAATTTTAGACTTGTGTCGTAAAAATTGTTTGATTAATAATTGGTC